TGACTGACCGGGTTCCATAGGTCTGGCAAGAGCAGATCGCCGTGTCGCATGCAGGACCTGTCATGCACACCTTTCTGCGCACGACGCAGGCCATATCGCCCGCGCCTGCCCTGAGGGACAACTCGGAGCCAGTCTCTGGATGCGCCTCGATTTCGTTTGATCCCTCTTCGGCCCTTGTTGCCACCCGGCAGGACGACTCCCCCAGCACTGTCTGGATCTGGGACGTGCAGGCCGCAGAGCTCCGCGCAGTACTCCTCTTCCATGGGAATGTGGCCAACCTTTCGTGGCACCCACGTATCCCGGAAACCTTGCTGGTCAGATGTGAAGGCGACCAGTACAATGGCCTGGTTTTTGTCTGGGATCCCCTCTCGGAAGGCCCTCGGTCTGTTGACTTTGCTCGGCACTTGCCTGGTGCTAAGGCAGGCGGCAAGCTGCGGGCCCAGTGGCTTGGGGTTGAGAGTTCAGGCCATGCGTCTGTTTTCTTCTCGGACGCCCATAATTACGTGCTTGCATGTCTTGGCGAGTCGGACCAAGGCCCGGCTCCGTGGGGCGACCACGACTTGTCTGGGCCGAGCCTGTCAGCCCAGGGATGCAGGGAACGCGAAGAGTCGCCCCTTCACCTGGTCCCGGTATCTGGGACGAGGCCTGAGATCCCCAACCTGGAAGAGGACGACGACTGCAGCGAGATAGAGGACACTTTTGTCTACAAACGGTAAAAGGGTTGTGGCCCGTCCATGCCGAACAATGCGTCGTGCCTCGACGGCATCGTTTCGGACGAAATTCGGCCAAGGCACCACCGACCCGAGGACCTGGCCGTGATCCCATCAGGCAAGGCTGGCGGGGAAGCTCAGTCCAGCAGCCTACTCACTCGCTCCTGAGCCCGTGATGCACGTCGACATATGCAAGCCCAGTCTCATTGGGATAGGTCAAAGCACCGAAAAGAGAACGGGTTTGGCGATTCGATCAAATGCGAGGATGAGCAAACCCCCGCAGACGGCCCATGACCCTGTTGCTTATTCTTTGCTTTTCCCTTTTGGGGGCAGGGTATTGAATCGAGTCCCCAACGTCACCGCCCAAGATCCTAGATCTTGTAGATCCATCGATTCGATTGGTCGTCTCTGAGCGAGTGTCGACAACACCAGCCCTTCGACTCGACCAAGCTTTCGGTGGCCAGATTCTCACTTCCGTTTGTCCCCGGGATCTGACCAATTTGGGGGCTGCTACATGAGAATGCATACCCCAAAGTTCTCCAAGTGGAACACGAGTGCCCTCCTGGCATCTGGCATGGACGCAAATTTTCCAGCCACGCAAACATCACAGAGCACGGAAGACAAGGAGCCGGGAACCCGCAGGACTCTCGCTTGGCGGCGACTGCCTCTTGCTTTGGGCTGTTTTCTCAGAGCACGTCGAGCGCGTGCGTGGAAGCGGGCGGCTGGCTACAAGACGGAGTCGAGGTGGCCACCGGCATGGTGGCGTCAAAGTTATAGGAGCGCCACCCAAAAGCTCTTCCGCTTGTGCAAGTCTCCGCAGGCTGTTGATGGACGGAGCCCCTGTGGCCTCCTCGAGTCTCACACAGCCTGTGCACCAAACATCACCAACTGCATACTACACTCACTGTCCGGACAAAGTCCCCAAGACCCCGTTGGCACTAAAATCCGGTCCCTGTTGCCGGACCCGCGCCCAAGTCGACCCGGCTCATTGGACTGACTGGGGACCAGGGCGGGGGCCTTGACGCCACTGAAGCTCTTTACGGCCAACAAGTTCCTTCTTTGCGACCTCCTCGGATGCCAAAGTCTGTTCTCGGGCCGCGGATCATCCTCTCCGGGTCAGGGTGTTGGGATGTACCGACATGTTTGGTGTTCAGCCACCCCATCGTGCCGCTCGATGCGTCTCGGAGCCGGGATGGGCCGCCATTGCACAGCTTGAACAAGCCACTAGACTATTGGGACTGACCGGTTCTGCCCAATCTGGTTACCTGTGTCTTGGGATTCGATGAGCATGAGATGTGACAGCTCGTCAATCGCGGACAACCCCCAGATTGACAACCTATTTCGTATCCCTGACAATGGACGTGGTCCGCGGTCGAGTTCTTTCTGGCAAAGCCGGCTGCCCGATACGGGCGGTCGGCTTCCCGGTGCGCGGGATCCTTTTAACTAGTCCCCAAGTATCCTCCGGAGTTTTCACCTCAGTCTCGATCTCATGCTCCTTCGATTTTAAGCTCTGGAGAACCTCCCCTGTGGCGACGGTCGTCTCTACTTTCCCGCTCGATCAAAGACGTGACAACAGCGCATACCCTCTGCCCCTTCCATATTCCCCTGCGAGTGTTCGGTTTGAGCCTCGGACGCAACAACGGCTTCGACTTGACGCATCCGACATCGAACAGCTTTTGCGGGCCTACCGGGTCGGGACTCCTGGCCCTGTTGTTGATGGCGTGTCATCATCTCCAGTACCAGATATCTCGCGAGACTCGGCGGGACTTTGAGCGCAGCACACAGCGGCTCGGCATACCGGGCAGATCTATCAGCATAGCCGTGTCTTAAGCGGGTTGTTGCGCTGTTATATACGCTTTCAACGCCGTCCTCTCATTATCCCCTCCAAGTAATCACACGACGGTCCAGGATGCATCGCAGCCAGCATCACAACCGGAACTTGGCAGCCTACACAGTAAAGCCGGGACCCGAAACGGGGTTGTACTACATTTTGGTTGCGAACGTACGTGAGAACCGCGGCTCCGTTCACCTCGCTTCAGCATGACTGACCAGCCGTGTACAGCTCGCTCACCGAACGACATGGAGAGAACTGAAGGCATTTGCTTCCCAGGCCTGCGAAGTAGATCACGCCGAGGTCTACCCACCGACTTCTGGGTTTGTTCGGGTGAAGGGCCGAGCCAATTTTGAGAAGGCATTCAGTAAGGTGGACTTGAAAGTTTTGACCTTGGTTGGTTCTAATAACAAATGACAGAGTTCCTCGACGGCAACACGCTCGAGTACCGCGCTCTCCAAGCGGATGGCCGCAACTTGAATCAGGATACCGTCGTCAAGCTCCTGAAAACAGACTACCACGCGGAGAGAATTGACCGGGGTGAGCCCGTGAGGGTGTTCAGCGAACCCGATGCGCCGGCCCCTGGCCCCACGGAGCCGTTTTCTCAAGGCACAGGTGCAGCGATGGGAAGCCCCTACTCGGATTACCAAGGGAGCGCCAGCCCGGCATTCAACATGACGGACGCACAATGGGGTTATGTGACGTCGCCCTCATACGTCGCTGGTGGGGGCTATCAGCCGGCTCCCGCCGCGCCTCTCACGCCACCCAGGTCTATGGCATACCAAGCGGTAACTGCCTCGAGCCATGGATTTATCCCGCAGGCAGCGATCGGCCCTTCACCCTTGGTATACCGGGCGGTAACAAGCCCAACACCCGCCTCCGCCCAAGCCGCGGTCACCCAGTATCAATACGCCGACCCTGCCGCGTATTACTCCCAAGGAGCCGCTTACGATACAAGCGGAGGACCGGGCTACGCCGGGTTTGTCCAACCAGCCGGGCGGAGCAGCAGCGGCCACGCCTACGTCACGGGATACGACTGGCCGCCGTCCGAACCGATCCGGTCACCGCCGGCAGCAGACCAAATACTCGACGACAACACCAGCAGCAGCAGCAGCCGACCCGCCGTCATAATCGAACAGCGCAAGATCCTCATCCGCGACCTGGAACGGGACGGTCTCTCCGACGCGGTCGTCACGAACCTGCTCGTGCAGCACGCCGGGATCGGCGCGACCCCGGGGCAGATCGAGAGACTGGAGCTGCCCATCAACAGGGACGGCAGGGCGCGGGGCACCGCGTATGTCACGTTCAGCGCGGCGGCGCTCGCAAACGCGGCTGTCGCCGCCCTTGACGGGAGCAAGGTCGGCGCTGCTGCCAGGAAGCTGTCGGCGCGGCTTGTGGTTGAGGGCGTCTCGCCGGATGGGCTGGACTCTCACTCAACTAGCGGTCGGTCGAGTCGGCGGCTGGCTGGGGGTGGTGGGGGGAGGTCTGGCGGTGGTGGTGTCAGCTCGAGACCGGACGCCGGCAGGTCGTCGCGGTCGGCTCAGGCGCAGTCTCAGTCTCAGTCTCATGGCTCTGGATCTGGGTCTGAGGCGAAAGTGGCTGGGGCGGTGCCGCAGGTTGTAACCAACACCGCATCCGTGTCCGCGTCCGCGGCGGGTAGCAGCCAAGACAAGAAGAAAGAGGAGCGGCCGGTTATTGTGGACGGGAGCGGGGGGCGGTGGAAGAAGGAGTTGGCGCCGGTTGTGGTGGACGGGAGTGCCGGCACGAAGGGGGGTGGTGGCGGGCACCGGGGTTCTCGGCATTGATTGTGTGTGTTGCTGTGCTGTTACTTGCTCTTGTGCTTGGGGTTTTGGTAAAATGGCGTGCTGGTATTGGGAGAATGGGGCTGGGGCGGAGTTAGGGGGGGTTGAAACGAGAGTTTTGGGGGTGAATCAGGAAAAGACTCAGGGGGTAGAGAAAATGAAAAGGGGGGTGTCTTTCTGCGGTGTTGTGAGAGCGTCACGGCGTGTACTGGTGCTGGGTGGGCTAGAGGGGATGGCTTGCTGTGTGGTTTCTTTTTCTGGTAAAGTTCTTGTTGCCAGGCATGGTGAGTTTGGGTGCGAGAAAGAAAAGAGGTGAACGATCGAAATGTCAAAGTGTTTATGTTGCTCTCGCTGGTCTTGGGGCTCACTGGTCCGGCTTTTACCTCAACTCGGTGCGTTTTCCGCCCGTGGCCACAGTCCTGACAATCCTGGACAGGAATCATCCGACCATCTCGACAGCGGCTGTTTGCCTCACATTAGGTCACACTCACACTTTGCATGCCCCATACTGGCAACAACACACCCTCACCTTCCCTTCTCTTCAAACCCCACCAGCCGACTCGCTCGAACCCCCCAGACTCTCGAGGAAGGAGACGAACAAAACCCCCCACGCAGAGCCTGACTCGCACCTCATCCACTCTCGTCTCCTCGGCTGTGGGGCGTGTGGCTCAGTTGGTAGAGCGTTCGCTTAGCATACTCACTATTCCTGTATGCGAAAGGTCCTGGGTTCGATTCCCAGCTCGTCCATGACAAGCTTGAGATCGGGGGGTTGGGGTTGTCTTTTGCTGAGGGTTGTTTCACTTTTTGGGTGTGTTGGACTCGGGTGGATGGTGGACGTTGGTTGTGTTGTGATATGGGTAACAGGGGAAGAAGGGACACCAACCAAGCGCAGCAGTTACACAGAGGCGAGAAAGGAAACAGAGGATGATGACAAGACATCTCTCATCCAACGCAGCACAGGTATATTCGCCCCTTATACCCCCCATACAAATACACACCCACGCTCACAAACACAGATCTTACACCCCCTCCTTCAACCCCGCCACATCAACCCCCTCCCTCCCCAACCTCGCAACAAGCCTCGTATTCTGCCCCTGCAGCTCGCCGACCCGCTCCCTCAGCATCTCGACCTCCTTCCTCGCGACATCCCGCTCCGCTTTCACCCTGTCCAGCTCCATGGCCAGGTTGCCCTTCTCCTCGCGCTCGGCCGCCTTCCGGCGGCGCTCCTCGGCCTTGCGCTCCTCGGCCGCGCGCTTGTCGGCCAGCCGCTGCAGCTCGCGCCGGTATTTTTCTTCTTGGCGGGCCACCTCGCGCGCGTGCTTGTCGCGCAGCTTGGCGAGGGCCTGGTCCTCTTTTTCGGTTTCTTTGTCTTTGGTGGAGTCGGTGTCTGGGTCGGTGGTGCCGGTGCTGGTGCCGGTGCTGGTGCCGTTGGTGGTGCTGGTGCCGTTGGTGGTGCTGGTGCCGTTGGTGTGTTTGGCGCGGCGGCGGGCTTGGGCGCGCTCGAGTTTCTCTTGGGCTTTGCGCATGCGCTGTTGGAGTTTGTTGAGTTCCTTTTCGTGTTGGGACTGGGCGCGGGATGATGAGGGGGTTGGTTCGCGCGAGAGGGCCTGCGAGGTTGTCTCGGAGAGGGTTGAGTGGGTTGAGAGGTTATCGGTTGCTGAGACGGGGTCGAGGTTGTTGGAGTTGTTATTGTTGGAAAGAGGAGCGTCGCCCTGAGAGGAACCCTCTTCGGCGGAGGCGAAGCTGACTTCCGACGTGTCGCTCTCGGCGTCGCTGATATCGGAGTCGTCTTCTATTGAGGAGGGGGCGAACGCGGCGACTCTGCTGGCGACGGCGGATGTGGCCATGCCCAGGGCACTGGTGAACATGCCGTAGATGCCGCTGTTGTTGGCTGGCGGTTCCCCCTGGTACTTGGCCTCGCCGTCTGGGAGGTGATCCGCAGCTGAGGTGTCCGCCGGGAGTCGCCCTGATTCTTCCTCGATCGGCGACTCCCCTGTAGGCTTCGTCCCCTGTTGGTCTGGCTCGGCCGCCCGTGGCTTCGTAAGCTCTTCGATGGTCTGCGAGGAGAGCCATTTGAGAAACTTCCCAGCGTCGTTGATGATCCCCCCTGGCGTGCCCTTCTCAACCATGAACCGCGGCACACTGCCGCCGGGGTCGCTTCGGGTAACCATCAGCCACTCCACCGCCATCTCCGTGTCGCCCGTATCAGCGTCGTCACTCAACCGAAACGACACGGCCCTGCCCTCGCCCTCCGACTCAGCCTCTTCGCCGACGGCTTTCTTCGCAGCGCGGAGCACCGCCTCCTTGCTCATGCGCTCGCCATTCAACGCGCCCTTCACCTCGTCCCTGCTCAGGTCGATCGACGACCTCACCCGGCGGAGCGGTTTCTCGACCGGCACCTCGCGGATGACCTCGACCGACTCGTACGTGCCGCGGACGAAGCCCGGCCGGGGCGGGCAGTCGGGGTGGTCGCAGGGCCTCGAGATGACCATGAACTGCCTCGGGGCGCGAGTCTTGCTGCCGTCCTTCTTTTCTTTTTCGTGCTTTGCCATCATGATCAGCGCGATGAAATCCCGTGGCGTCGTCGGGCCAGGAAACCGCGCCGAGACGTGATACACTGCTGTCGTCAGCCTCTCACCCGCTTCCTAAAAAAAGGGGGAAACTCACAATCCATCTTCCCCCCCTCAAACTCGACCCCATCGATCCTCCTCTCGGCCCCAATCCCCCTGATATTCCCCGTCCCGGGTTCCTTCCCGGGCACCGCCTCGACCCGCTCCAGCGTGACTTGCATCTCCCTCCTTAGCGCCGCCTCCCTAAGGTAATCACTGTCAGCCATTTCCTCTTGAACAACTCTGCAAGAAACAAACCCCCTCGCCCTCCCACTCCTCTCCCCTTTCCGCCACCAGAAAAAAGAACAGAGAAAGAGAGAAAAAGACTTACCACTTCTCAAACCCCCCCTCCCCCGACAACCGATGCAAACTCCTCCTGGCAAACCACGCCCCCTTCCCGTCCTTGGCCCCCATCTTGTACATGACAATCCCGTGCGGATTCTGTTGCACTTTCAGGTCCTTCCACTCCCTATTCAGCTTCTTGACCGTCTCCTTGTCTTCTTTCTCCCTTTCCCCGCCATTCTTACTCCCCCCTGCCCCTGCCGCGGCAGCGGTTGTTGCAAACGACGAAGGGGAGACACCCGAGTCGGTATGCGACCGCGCCCGGCTGCCCGGAGCCGTTTGTGAGGACGGTAGTTGTGGGGGGGTGGGTGTCGGGATGGAGTCGATTAGCAGCTGGGCGTTGGTTAGGGTTGACGTGAGGAGGTCGGTGAGGGCGGAGGGGTCGTGATCGCTGATGTGGGGGGCGATGTCGGCTTGCCAGGAGAGGGGGGCGAGGGATTTGAAGGGGGTGTGGTGGGACATTTTCCCCCGGGTTATTCGTTACTCTGTTTATTTGGTTGTGTTGTTTTCCCGGGTTGCGTTAACAGTGTTGTGTTGTGTTGTGTTGTGTGGGTGGATGAGTCCCGGGAGGAAAGACAGTCAGTGGAAGCGAGGTCGGGGATGGTGGTATGGTTGTGTGGCGGTGATGTTTTCGTGTTCCCTCTTTTGAAAAGTCCGAGGAGGATGGAGAGCGGTTCTGGCCGTGCTGGATATCAGACGGCGTAGCATGGGGCCAAGCTAGTGTATACGTATACGCGTACTTGGTATGCGTCATCCGATTCCCAAACTGGTTGGTTGGTTGGTCCAATGGCTGTGGGACAGTCCAGAGATTTGGAAAGGGGCAGCTTTCTTTGAAACCCTGTTATAACCCGCCCTGTCATGTAAGTGCCTGGTTCCTGGATTGATACAAACAAAGCGCTGCAGTGGTTCGGTGCGTACCAGTTTCCAACCCGGTTCGTTCGAGATCAGTTCAGTCGGCTTGGACGATCGAGATCAATTCCCTAATAAATCGTGATATTGGTTTCCAGCTGTTCCAAAATCATTAAATGCTCGCTCAACCATCTGGCTAGCTGCCACCTTTAATCATACCTTCTGCTCATGATGGCATGCATGCCGCCTTGCTCGCGTCAATCAGGAGTCGCTTGCTTGCTGACGTCATTGCAGGGTCCTCCCTGTCACTCCAAAACGTCACTGCAGCGGGGCATTCCACCCGCCTGGATTGCGGGGACGGGGCGCTAAAATTAGGCTCAACTCCGTTCCGACATGCCATCAGCACGAATAGGGGCAACTCATCGATTCTCCTCTCAGACCTCAGGCGTAAACTAAAGTACAGCAACCCATGTTCTCCCAGTACAGATACACTCATACAATCCAACCAACCACCCGCCCCATCCAGAGCCCATTTTGCCTGTCCGTCCCAACGCCCCCGCCCCGTTCAGCTCCAAACAAACCCTTGGCGCCCCATACCTAGCATTGCTGAACCAGTAACTTATCCTCCAGCCCTGGCCAGGGCAGCATCCAACTAAATCAAAACAGCAGGGGCTAATCCGGCGAGCTACTCACTGCATGGTCTTGAGGAAGCCATCCAGGTCAAAGCTTTCCTCGTACTGATTGTTATCCCACAGCTCGCCCAGCCCCTCGAGCCAGGCCGCCTTCTTGCCCGGCTGCCGGACGTCGCCCGTCTCAATGTCCACCATGTCCTCCTCGCGGCCCTCGATGGTCTCGTTGTTGCCCTTTTCTGCTATCAGGCCTGGCCCGGAATCGCCGCCCAGGTTGAACAGGTCGAGGATCTGGTCCGTGTCCATGGTCGCCAGCCCGGCGTTCTGCTGGTTCACCACGGTGCTGGCCACGTCGATCTTGAAGCGCTGCAGGCTGAGGATCTTCTCCTCGAGCGTGCCGCGCGTGATGAGCCGGTACACGTTGACCACCTTCTTCTGCCCGATGCGGTGCGCCCGGTCCATGGCCTGCAGGTCCTTCTGCGGGTTCCAGTCGTGCTCCACAAAGATGACCGTGTCGGCCCCCGTGAGGTTCAGCCCGAGCCCGCCCACGCTCGTCGTCAGCAGCAGCACGTCGTACGACGGGTCGCTGTTGAACTTGTTGACGATGTCCTGCCGCCGGTTGGCCTCGACCGACCCGTCCAGCCGCAGGTACTGCGTCGCCGGGAGCATGCCTTTCAGGACTGTGTTCTGCACCATGTCGAGCATCTCCTTCATCTGGCAAAAGATGAGCGCGCGGTGCGGCTTGATGGGCGTGTACAGCGGGTCCGACGACTCTTGACCGTCGGTACCGATGCCGCAGTCGACGAGAAGATCCCGGAGAGCCGTCAGCTTGGGCGCATGCGCCGGGTCCTCGAGGCTCGTGTTTTGCTTGGCCAAGAATTTCTGCGTGTCATCGTACGACCTGTGGCCCGGTTTCATGACGAGCGCCGGCGAGTTGCAGAGCTTGCGCATGTACTGCAGCGCCTGGAATATGTGCTGCTTGGCTTCTTTGTCTTCCTTGCCAGCTTGCTCAGAGAGCTTCTGGCCCTCTCTCTTGGTGAAATCCTCAAACAGCTTCAGCTGCAGGTCACTCAGGTCGCAGTAGTAGTTCTGCAGGATCTTGGGCGGCAGATCATTCAGCACTTCCTCCTTGAGACGGCGCAGGAGGAAGGGCAGCACCTGCTTGTGCAGAGCCTCGATGGCCAATGCACCAGCTTCCTGCTCCTTCGACGAGGCCTTGCTGTACCGACTGTTCGCAATCGGCTTTGCAAACCGGTCGAGGAACACCTTCTCTGCGCCCAAGAAGCCCGGCATCAAAAAGTCAAAGAGAGACCAGAGC